GGGGGGGGGGGGGCGTGAGATTCCCCGGTGAGACCCTGGAGCCCCAGTTGTGGTGTGAGTGAGGGGAATAAGATCAGAGAAAGGAGTAGAGGCCAGGTAAGCTTTGGGAAGTACCTGAGCCAGTTGGGGAGAGACCCTGCAGGGCCAGGCATGCTCCCCAGAGCACCTGAGCTGGGAATGGGGAACCCCACTCCATGAAAGTGCAGCCAGGAGTCAAAGACCCTGCTGAGGGACTCGACTGGTCAATGCTGGGGCCAGGACCTAAGGGTGAAAAGTGCCAGGGGCCCACTGCGAGGGACGCCCATGATGAGTGAAGGAGCTCGGGGTCCTGAATGGGCGTGAGATGGGGCCAGGGCTTACGGAAGCCAAAGGTCCCCATGGTTGGGGGCCACAGCTAATGGGCAAAGACGAGGGTCCAACTAACTGCCTGAGATGCCATCTGCGAGGCTTGGGCAGCGGTGCAGGGGTCGTACAGAGCCGCGGACACCCCCTAGAATCAGGGTGCAACAATGGGCAGCCTCCTGCCTTATTTAACAACTTATTAATTACCAACAAGGTGTGATGGGCGAGACAGGTGGGCAGTGTGCCCAGAGGCAGGTGGGGAAGCTGGCTGCAGCTAGCAGGGGATGCCTACCTCACCACACTCCCTCAGCTGCCTGAATCGTAATGTCACAGCTGCTGCACTGTGGAGCAAGAATTAATGCATGGTGCATCTATCGTGGGAAGAAAATCAGCTTGTCAGCTTAATACATGCAATTAAGCATGTACATACATGCTATTTTGAGAGGCTGATATTTGAGGAAATAGTGCATGTTTCACGTGAGAAAATACTGTAGTTCAAATAATGCTCTATTCTTGTATAAGAGTGTGCACCATTTCACCCTGTCTGTGGCAAATGAGGATGCAGTTAAACAAGTCTGGTGGCACTAACCCTTCACATCTCACTCCATTACTCACTACTCATGAAACTATCATTCTACATGGCACATGTACACAGGAACTCAGACTTGGGCCTGAAA